CAATATTAGGTTTGATTATAATAATAAAAAAATAAAATAATAATAACAGTAAAAAATAAAATTGTAATAGTAACAACAAAATAACAATAATAATAGCAACAAATATAATAACAATAATAATAACAACAGTCATAAAATTAGCAACATACGTCACACTCTTCTTTTCCAGCCCAGCAACGAATTCATCCTCTGATTCCTCTTCGTCCTTCTTATCCTTTTCGGTTAGCTGCTGTCTGCTCTCACGCCGCATTTGCTTGCGTATTTTCTTCAGTCGTCGATGTGTCACCTCATCATCGCCAGGCACGAACTTGATCAGCTCTTCGGCTGTGAAGCGCTTGCAAAGCTTTTTCAACAAATAACCGATTTGTATGCGGCAGTAACGTTTTGTGTCCTTCGCCATGGCGGAGAGCGCTTTCATCTAAATGTTACTTTAAAATTAGTTACTGCGTCACTTAAGCTATAAAATATACTCACAATTGTTTGCAAATGGTTAGCCACCAAGGGCGAGGGCATTACTTTGATGAATGTTATCAGAAAGGCGACTGACGCCTCGGCCAGTGAGCGTGTCTTCTGCACGAGAAACACTAGTATCTGCTCCATTATGAATTCGAGTGTATTAATTGTTAGGTGTTTGCCCTGTTGTTGGATCACAGTGCGAAAAGCCAATATGGTGTTGGTGATGAGCGACTCATCGCCGGCAAAACCGGCCGTCAATATATCGACGAAATCATTCAATTTGCCAGCCTCCTGTGATTTAGAAACAATAAAAGAATATTGATTGTTTGGAAAATACTATTTATGAGGCAAAAAAATTTACATACCTGATACAAATTCACCAAGAATGTAATGAGCTCTTCGGACACATTTTCCTTGCGTGTCGAAAACTCCTTGTATGAGATCACAGCTTCCGGTATGGTTTTCATAACAATTTTGTCATTCACAGTTAGAGATTTGCGGTTTTCAATAATAATTTTCAGGCATCTAAGATGGAAAATACAAATTTTTTAAATTAGTTAAAATTTTTTATTTCCAAGTTTCAAACCTAACCTCAAACGGGCGGCCTGGCACACAGGACAGCTTGTGGCAAATGCGTCTAGCAGCAGTTTTTGTAGGGCTATGCTATTTTTGCGTGCGAATTTCTGACACGAAGCTGACTCCGAAGTGAGTATATCACGCAGGAGTCTGTAAAAAAAAAAAAAAATAATAATAATAACGGTTATTTTCAAACAAATTTTTAACGCACTCGTATGTTCTGCGCTGCTGCTTTTTCAATTTTTGCTCGTCTTTGGCAACCAGCTTGGATTTTTCGTTCTTCAGCACGGGCACTATGAACTCCTCGAAGAACACACGTATAATTTCGCTAGTTTGGAAGAGCAGCAAGGCGGCGTTGATGTCGAAAATCGAGTCATATTCGAAGGTGCCGACGGCTGCGTTGGAAAGTTGTGTTTTGGCAGTTTCGAAAAGCTCCTTAAGCACATCCTCTGGCGTGCGCGTAAGATAGAGCTGTTGAAATAGTTTGGATGAAAGTAAAAAATAAATATATTTACATATATCTTCATGCTTACTTCGTACCTTTATGACGTCCAAAGTTTTTTTGCGCAGATCCGCCTCGTATGTGGTATTTGGTTTTTGTGCGTAAATATTAAAGAGACGTGGTAGGAAATTTTTGGAGTATTTCGCCAAAGCTTCTTTGATTTCTGCGCTCTCCTCGTTCGCTATCAGCTCGGTTAAACCATCGAAGATGGGTGCACGAAACTCTGGATTGTTATCTAGCGCATTGCCCAAAGTGGGCGCAATCAAGCGCAAGTTCTCCGGATCTGCGGGCTCGCGACAAAAGCCTGGGAATAGACCCCACAGCTGACAACACAATAGCTCGTATGTATGTGACATGGACTTCTGTTGGTCTTGCGCGTGTTGATGCCATTTGTTGTTGCAATCCAAAGCCAGAGGCAAAACGAACTCTTTGAAGAATTTAAAAGTGGCGCCTTTGGCACCTTGGCGCAAGAGCGGCAGCAACCAGGAGCGTTCCAATAAGACTTCGCCTTTGCTGTTTGTTAACGGTATCGTCTTTAGCGCATTCTCAGGACCCATCGATTGTATGGCGGCAATGATGGTGTGTTCGATTTGTACGCGCAGCGCGCTTTGTGTGTCATAACGCTTCGACAGGGTCAAAAGTGAGCGCGATAGTTCCTTGCTGCAGAGATGAAGAGTATTTAGAGAGTAAATTAAAATTTTGTTTATGTTTAATATTCAGAATAAATACCTGTAATGCTTGCCACAAACTTCGAAAACGATGGAAAATATTAGAATCACGTGTTTGGCCATTTCACCGAATGGCGCATTCAGCGCTTTTTCGAGTGACGTGATAATACGCATAATCGTTATGCGATGAACTTCCGACCGCTCAGCTGACTCACTAGCCGGCTTCACACATTCGTATAGCAGCTCCTTTAAACAATTCGAGACACTGCTGATTATTTCTGCGCGTTCTGACATCCATAAATCCGTGGCGCAGATGTCGATGAAGCGCGGCAATGCATTCATGCACAAATTCAAGTCCAATAGCGCCAAATGTATGTGACCCTCTTTGAGCACCGTCACCCAAGCTACGGTTTGACGTATGTCAGCGCGATCGGGACGATATTCGTGTATGGCAGCCAAGAGTTTAGCGCATAATGGACCATTCAAATTTGTCGTACGTGAGGCGAAGAGCGCATGCAGCGCTTGGAAGCAGTTGGTGCGTATGAGCACGTTTGCAGCGGTCATTATGGAGAGAAGGCTTTCACATACCGTACGTATGTCCTCGGTTTTAAGGCCACTCAATACATCTTTGAGTAGTGTTAGTGTATGCAACACGGTTGTTTGTGAGTTGGTCAGAACTTCGGGTTTGAATTGATTTAAACAGAATTTCGTTATGCGATTGCTAGCCGGATGGCTTTTCACTTTCGGTTGCTCCTCACTGACTTCCCTCTCAGCATCTTCGCCCTTGGGGGTACGCATAAAGGAGCTACCGTGTATGATGGATACAATAGCATGTTGAGCGGCTTTGCGCACCTAAGCAGATAACGGTAATTTGAATGTTATTTTAGAGTATTTTATTTCATACAAACCTTTGGTTTCGAGTGTATGGTAAACGAAAGTATAGCATCAATATACTGCCAAGTTGAGGAGTAAGTCCAAGTGTTGTAGTCCTGTGCACAGAGCAACACCGATAAACAACCAATTATCTATAAATATTATTCACACAAAATTTCAGTAATGAATTTTCCATTTCACAAAAATGTTATGTTACGCACATATTTGATTATAGACTGATTTGTGGACTCTATAAAACGTTGCAGACACGTTAAAAACGTTTGTGCCGTCTCTCCAAAACGCTTACGTAGCACCGTCGCTGGCACTGACTTAATGCCCATTGACAACAAAGAAATACCAGCAATGATGTCATTGTCTTCCGTGCTGGCCTCAATCTGTTCCATAAGTAAGATAAAATACTCTGTTGACGACTCGGTGCCACCACGTTCGCGTATCACTTCGGTAAGTGCTGTTAGTATGGCTAACATTTCTTTATGCAAATCTGACGAGGCACGGAAGCCAACAAGCAGACGTTTAAAGCTCATGTTGCTGCAGGCGCTATAGTTCGAAGCGAATGTTTTGAAAGTTTTAAAAGTGCCCTGTTGTGATTCCGACATGCTCTCATCTTCCAGTCCATCGTCATGCAGGCTGAACGACTTCAGACTGCCGGCAACATCATTGACTGTAGTCGTTTCAGCGTTGTAAGCCAAGCGTTGATCATGTTTCATGACAGCGTCCAGTGTGAGTGTAGTGGGATCAGTATTCGCTTCTGGTGGAGCTATGCGTTAAGAAATAAAGTTAAATAAGTTTCTAACACAAAAATTGCATTTGTTTACCTACCTAAACTCAAATTGGGCTGAAAGAAGCGCGACTTGGCTTTCAGACGATGCTTCATTTGGTCAGGATTTGAAGTAGACGACTGGCCTTTGCTCCATGTTTTGCCTTTAGTATGGCGTTTTAGTTTAGAACGAAACTTTCCCATTTTGCGCAACGTTTTGAAAAATTACTCTATTTAAAACTGTTTCAAGAATTGAGAAAACAAAAACACGTGTCGACAATGCACTGTGCTGGTGTAAAAGAATTATATCGTTAAAGAATGTCATACAAAACGGAATATAATTACATATTTTGCCTGCAAGGGTTACTGAGCAAAATAAATTTTAGCAGAGAAAATGTGTTGGAAAAGAAATTGAAGTTATATGATTTTTATGTAGTTGGTTATCACTTGCTTTACATTAAAATTATTATTTTTACAACTATTACAAGAAAAATCCAGCAAATTTTAACATCAATTATAATAGACCTTTTTAGTAGTAAATATTTTTACAATCTTTTTTTGGTTTCTACTTCACGTAAACTGTTGGAAACACATCACTGCTGTTAGAACAGCTGTCATTTGTGTTTGTTTTTGTATTCAGTTGCTGTTTTGCCTTTCGTGGTTGATGTTCGATTTTCTTATTACGATTGTATAAAAAGAGAAGTAAACAATCAATTTTGCAACAAAAAGTGTGGTAATGAAAAATAGGAAACACATGTGTAATCATTTGCAGAGATACTAAAAGAAGGCCAAACATAAAACATAATTGTGTGAAAGTTAATTGAAAGCTAAATATATAAATAACTAAATATTAAACATATGAGTTAATCAAATCTACAAAGTATTTGTTAGCATTATCAATATCGGCACAACGGTAGAGCAGAAAAGAGAAAGTAATTGGATGTTTAATTGAAAATTAGGTCAGAATAGTGGAAAAAGCGCAAAAACATAATATACATAAATAAAATAACTACGTTTCTTTAGGTTGACGTTGATGCCTTTCGGTGCGCTGGAATTGTGTAAAAGAAGTAAAGCAGTAACACCGCAAGGGAGTTGAATGACACAGCGCTGTCCACTGCGATTTGTATACAGTGGATAGCATTTTGTTTTGTTGGCGCATACGCAGATCTACACATAGGCGCTATCTGGTTCTGTGTTTTGTTGCGGTTAAAAACAAACAGTTGCCAGAAGCAGCATAGAAGCACAACATGGAATATTTACAGGACTTGGCAAAAAATCTGCTGGATTTTCTTTGTAAGTTGCCACTTTAAGATATGCAAGAAGCTTATTTGTAAAAGAAATTTCTTATCCATATATCTATGTATGCATCCAAATTTACTCTTTAGCCACCTACATTGACTTGGACTACTCGCTATGGCTTTACCGGCTGCTTTGGCCGCTAATTGTAACATTCCTGCTTCCGATGGTCTTCGTGGCACTAATTTACATATCATTTGTGATGTTATTCATTTACAAATTGCACAGGTAAGATTATTATTTTATTTTTGCCATAGTTAGCATTATATGGTAGGGGGTAGCAGCGTTTCACTCGTGCAATTTAAGCATATTTGACGTATGTATATTGGACTTGTCTGCAATTATTGCAAAGTAGTTATGCAAAAAAATAAACGTGTGTCTTAATGGGCAATTATTTCCTTACTTTTTATAAATTAGTGAGCATTATAGTGATTGAACAATTTGTCATATTTGTATATAATTGGATTTGTTTTTTTGCAACAACAAAAGCTGTGCACACATATATACTTAATAAAAAAGGAGCTTGCTCATATATTAAAATTTTTTATTTTATTTTTGTGCAGCAATCAGGAAGTAAATGATTTGTGCTTTTTGGTCAAGCACCATAAATTTTTCGCAAAAGTTATGAAATAACACAAAGTACATATCATTTATTGGCTAGAAATTTAAGCATAGACATTTAATTAGTGTAAATGAGCGTCATTAAATTATGGCTGTGTCTACATACTTAACTACGCAAGATTGCTTTCATTTCTTATACATATTCATACATGATACCATAAGTAAAGTATATCTCAACGGTGTACAAAAAACTGCCTAGAGCGTTTACATTTCTTTATCGCTTTTTGTTTTGTTTTACTGTGATACTAAGTACTATATATTGCCCTTTTAAATGTATGTCGTTTTAATTTCATTTTAATAGCTGCTTGAGAGTGGAATTTGATTAATCATTAAGTAAACATATGCATGTGTGTGCACTGGTTGTTGGCTAATAGTTTTTATATTACTATGCTGTTGTATTGGTGCCTTGTACACCTGTATTCAACCATTGCCAGCTGATGAGTGAAATTTTGGTAGGTCAAAGAGATGAAGGCCTAATAAAATCTTGTATTCAAGCACTACATATTTGGAATATCATAATTATGATAATGCTACGATTTTAATGGCACTGAGATAATATTATTGTTATCTAAATATATTGTTATATGAATCATGTCATTAACCTGTCTTACAGGTTAGTTAAACATCACAATTTCCGGTCATTTTGTAATCTCGTAATGCCTGCACGTACATATTTATTACACAGATGCTTGTATATTTACATACATATGTGTAGCGTTGCAAAATTGTTATAAAATGTAGAATTGTAATTTCTTGCTCATATGTTTGCTTAGCTTGCGTTTTTATTACGTCTACAGGCTACTTGTTGAAAGCGTCTAATGTAAACAAACAGTTTTTGCTTCTATTTAAAAGAAAAATAATCAATTTGTAATATCACAAGTAAACATTTGCATTACACAACATTCAAACCTGCGTTTTTTATCTAAACATTTTTATATTGTATTTATTTTCGAAGTATATTGTCAAACAATTTTACCTTATATGTAGAGTTATGCCGAATATCCTCAGTACAGTCCATTATTAACATGCGACCTTCAATTCAAGTCGTAATGTGTGTACAAAAATATATTTGCTTAAAAAGTAAAAATTGTTTATTGTGCTGCACTTTGCATCCATACATACATACCTACAGACACTTCATGAAAAAAATGTGTTATTTTAAAAATCATGCATATTATATAAGGCTTAAGTTGTCAGCATGCGAAGGGATTTGAATTTGGTCAAACTAATATCTGCTATACATATGTATATGCGCATGTACATACATACATATACATATACTTATATACATGCATCTATAAAACATTTATATAAAATATATAATTTTCAAACCTAGTAAATAACATCACAAGGCATTAATTAATATAACGAGTATAATTGTTATTGAAACTAGTAGAGAAGGGCTAAACTGAACTTAATTTGCTCGGTGCTTGTTTCAGAAAGTTAAAATTATAACTTTTCATTGCCAGTGTCACATTTCTTTTCATAATATTTATATTCTTTACATATTTTCTCTACTTAGTAAAAGTTTTAGATATGTCAATACCCCATTACTCATCATCTTTTATCATCGCTTTCCTTATCTATAAAGTTTTTTATATGTCAACTATGTAAATAAAACTAAAAACACAGTGCAACGTGAAGCAAGCAAGCAAAGCGGCCATTTCTACGACAGTGAAGTCTACGTACCCGGAACGGACCCGGATTTTTATCCGACCAAGGACTGTCAACTCGGTAGAATTCTGACGCTACAACAACATCAACAACCGTTTCTACGGCAGTCGGGTCTATCTAACCGAAACGAAACCGTATCGTTCCGAACGAGTACTGTCACATCGGCAGAATACCTCCAAATTACTTCAGGAACTTTTTCTGCCTTAAATAGTCGTTAGAGTTCGGTATGATCTTAACTCATGCCGACTCATGTCCGTAGACCCGATTGTTGTATATGAAGTTTGGTTAGCAACAAAGTTTTGGAAATGTATTCGAAAAATTTGGACACTTAAATCACCTTTTTTTTTGTATTTCTATCGCAAAGGTGCTCGTTAATATTTTTCCCGAATCTTTACAAATATTTTTGGTTTACGTTTCACTATGCACCCAGCCTTAGTTGCTAATTGACATGTGTTGTATATATAAAGTATATACATATGTGTGTAGCTAAAAGCATTCGCTTTCGATAATATATATTCTACACAATAATTCACATTTTTTATCAGTTGCGTCGTTTTTATTTAAGTGCTGCTGGACATATTTTTATTGCTATTATTTTGCAACAAATGTTGTCGACATCTGTCGATATTGTGTAGTTATTGAAGCAGATTTTAATAAATCATAGTCTGTAATTATAAGCTAATTACTACCAGACTAATTCATTTGTAGTTTTGATTTATGAAATGATAATTTAATTTGTGCATGCAAAAGCTTTATAATTTGGCTTTTACGGTTTGGAGCGTCATTAGGTAGATTGTTGCACAGCTTCGATGCCATATTTATAAAGGGTCTTCAACTACGTTGTCAAGCATCCCTTTTATGATCTTCACTCGATGTCGTTTTTGCAAAATATTCAGAGTCTTTTGGTATAGGTTTAAAAATTCAAGCAAATTCTTTCTTAAATTTTTTGCATGGTAAAAATCATCCCACAAACAGTGGTATCAATTTAAGATTTTTGATTTACCCAAGCAGTTTAAATAGACCAGTCCGGATCCGGACAGATATCAGCTGTGTAATGACATCTTCCATATGTATAGAACTAAGTTTTGTAAAATGTTTCGAAAAATAATATACTACTATTTCAATTCAACACAAATACGTATCATAACCTCAAATTACTATGCTAATTTCCGCACTGTCATTTATACTTTTTCAGAGAGGTGATAATGCGTGCCGTACGCACCGATCGCAAATTCTGGGAATTCGGTCGGAAATTGGTCGCCGCATTGTGGGATGCACATGCGCGCATTTATCACGGCTACGAAGTAATAGGCATGGAGAATATACCAGAGACTGGACCAGCACTGATTGTCTACTATCATGGCGCTATACCCATTGATATGTATTACCTGAATTCACGCATAATATTGCAAAAGGATCGGCTGATATACACGATTGGCGATCGTTTCCTATTCAAATTGCCCGGTTGGGGCACCATATCCGAGGCATTCCATATAAGTCCCGGCACGGTGCAATCGTGTGTTGGCATACTGAAGGAGGGCAATATGCTGGCCATATCGCCGGGGGGCGTTTACGAGGCACAATTCGGCGATCACTATTACGAGCTGTTGTGGCGCAATCGTCTCGGTTTTGCGAAGGTCGCATTGGAAGCTAAGGTGCCGATTATACCTTGTTTTACACAAAATTTACGTGAAGGTTTTCGTCAATTGGGTATTTTTCGCAATTTCTTCATGAAACTCTATAATGCGGTGCGCATACCAGTCTATCCGATCTATGGTGGATTTCCGGTGAAGTTTCGCACATTTGTCGGTCGGCCGTTGGAGTATGATGGCACGCTTACGCCGGAGGAATTGCAATTGAAGGTGTGTGTGTGTGTGTATGTTCATTACTAGTGTTTTTGTATAAAACTGGTATTTCTTTGATTTTAGGTGGCTGCCGCTTTGGAGGAGTTGATAAACAAGAACCAACGCATACCCGGCAGCATATTTCACGCGCTGCTCGATCGCTTTCCGCCATTTCGTAGTAAAACAAAAATGTAAAAACGAAATTTTGCTTCATTTAATTATTTATGTGCTTAGTGTAAAGGTGTGTTCCCGTATCAGCAATTGTTTACACCGATTGCAGCAAATATCCATAGTATACTCTCTAGTGTTATTTAAGTTTTTCTTTCATTTCTTTTGAGGGGAGGGAAACGCAAAGACTATCCGCTATCTATAGAAGTAATTTTATTGCGCGTATTTTTGGCAACTTTGAGGAGAAAAAATAAAATTAAAAGTAAAAATGTAAACAAAGTATACAATAGATAATTATAAGTAATAGAAGAACAGTCGTATGAAACGTCAAACTGCATCTAAAAATATTATTATTTATGACATAATAGTGTATCACTAATCCATCTACAGGCACGCTAATTAAAGTTCAGCTTTCCATGTTTCCATAAATAGCCCTAAGTGTACTTAATAAAGCAGAACAATTTTCTATTAATTTATTATCTATAAACTCTAGTTAATTTTAGCTTAACCAGGGGGTTTAGGGGATTTCTATTAATACATATTTGCACCTCGGTGCTTACAGTGAAATTAACAGGCGCCAGAATAGGGTACGCATATTTTTTAAATAAGTTATACTTTATGTAAACATGTAAAAAAATTTTTAAACAAATATATCAAAGAAAAACAATTCAATTGTAGTTTAAGAGTGTGTACACATAAATGTTTACTTATTTTACTTACATTCGTACATACATACATACATATATGTATTAATTCAGCGGTATTGACATTGTTGCCTCAGTAAATGCTTAGTGTGACGTAAATAAGAAATTAAAATAAATAATCTTAATTTATTGTGTATTATATGGCGTGTGGAAATTAAAAGTATTTAAAAAATAAAATAAAATAAAATAAATAAATAAAAAATATGAAGGTAGAGATGGTATCTTATTTGCTTATCAAATATTTTCTAAGTAAAAATAAAGTAATGAGAGCATTTTGTTGTTGTAGTGGCAGAGTTCTGCCGTGTTGACAATCTTCGGCCGAATAAAAGATCCGAATTCGTTTCGGTAACGCTGACCCGACTGTCGTGCGAACGTTTTTTTTGTACTTTCACTCTCTTTCGCTCTTTCGAAGTTGACGTGCGAGTTCGAAAATTCTATATCATATTAATGCCTTATCCATGTTAACGTGGTAATAGAACGCCCTACTTAGATGCGTGCAGAAGCTTTTGAAAATGGTAAAATTTTTTTTTTGAATTGGTAAAAAGTGAAAAAAAAACATAGTGGTTGTAAACCCATTGTACTTCCCCATTCAATTCCCACGTCAGTCTTCGGAACGGTCTATTCTAGGTCTGAAAGCGGGGAGGGGAATAGTTAAATTTTTAAGGGTTATAATCGGTTTATCCCGTTTTACGGCAAAACTACGAGTCTTTTGGAAAACAGTTATGTTGCAAAGTTGTAGGAAATGAAATATAGACATTTGTATTAACACTTTTTTCATATAACCTCAAACATTTTCGGTATCAAAACTGTATATGAAAAATTAAAGGACCTAAGTTTAAAATTAGCCATTGGTGATTTGTTTTGCAGTGATTGTCTGGCCATTACCGTTGTTCGGTCTTTTTAGAGGTTAGGTTGGTTCAATAATGTCGTTTTCGTTGTTGCAACGGCAGAAATATCGCTCAAATAATTTAGAGGAATGCTGTCGAGTTGACACTCCTTGGTGTTGAAAGTACGGTGCCGTTTCGGTACGTAAACCTGACTGTTGTGGGTTAATATGGTCGATAACAACTGCTAGTGTCTTAAATGCATACCTAACGCTTTAAAAATCAAACTCAAATCAATTTTAAGCATTTCTATGTTGGAATTGATTTATTTCGAATTAAAATTATACAATTTTTGGCCATAGTATTTTATTATTTCTAATTCTTTCTGCAAGTTGCAAAACACAATATCTGAAATATTCAGAAAATTGGCAGACTACGCTTTTTAGTACGAGAGATAAACACTACGATCTTCGATTCACATTGAACAATAAAAACTTACATAATACATACATATGTACGTTGGCATGCATATATAGCGTACAATTTCTATATATGAAATAAGTGATTTAAATATTAATTTTAGTATTGCTCCGACATAATAAGTACCACTAAAGAAGTCCAACCCGTAAATGGATAGCAGCCTTTGCCCTGTCCTGTGGTGTCGTCATATTGCTCCCACAGATAGCCGGTTCTTTGGTATTCCCTGAATATGTTGCCTACAACATTCTCACGCAATTCGTTGTAGATTTCACGCGCCAGCGTTGTATACGGACCCTCGACGGTGCCGTAGTGATGCAATGCCCTAATCGCTAGATAATTAATATTTATCCAGATGGGACCGCGCCAATATGGCGGATCATGCTCCGTATTACGTTTCATGTACAATGGTGCGCTCTTGGATAGTGAACGGAGACCATAATTGGTCCATAACATATTCGGGTCGCGTAAATCGCGCAGCAATTTGCCTAAATAAACTGAATCGTGGTCGAGTATATGCAGTAGAAACGGAAATAGATTCGCATAACCATATGTGGTGTCGACAAATTGACGTTCTGGCTGCTTCATGGTGACGCGCACCATTTCCAATTGTTGTTGTTGATATTTTTTCAGATTTTGCTTGGTCACTTGTGGACGCTTAAGCACCACGGCATCGGTGTGTAGACCCCAATCGGCATAGGTCTCGGTGAAGGGACTCAAATGCTGTTCATTTAGCAATTGGTTGTCGGCGAGGAAGGAGGCGGTTTCATAATATTTAATACTATCTTTACCCAGTATGTCAGATAGGTCGCTCATTACTCTCGCGGCTAGCGCTATCCAGCAGCGCAAATCGACATGACGCTCATAGTTGGTGGGATGTGAGGCACGCGGGAAATCATCTAAGCCCGAAGTGAGCGTTCTAGGGTTCAATTCAGTCTCACTGGAGGCATTACGTCCACGCCAATAGTAAGTGCCTAACACATCGCCACGCTGCGTGTTATTGTACCAGGCGAACCAAGTTTGCAAACGTGGATAGAGTCGCTCCAACACGTCGAGACGTCCTTTTACCGATAATTCCTTCTTATGATGCGTGAGTATTTTGTCCAATGTAAGGAAAAATGTGGGTGGATTGCCGTTGGTGTTATGTTGTACGACGAATTCCTCCGGTACTTTAGCTAGTGCCTCGACGCCTAAGATCTGTTCTCTGGGTATCCAGCCTTCTATGTTCAGCAAATCGAACCAATGACACATGATATCCAGGGCAATATCCAGGTCCCACGAAGATATGACGAGTACTTGAAAACCTTCATCCCACAAGAAGCCACGTGGAAAGAAGGAACGCGACGGAACGGAGGTGTAAAGCGGTGCTTTCCAGTATGGTACTGGTTTCTTCGTATAAACTGATTTCACTTTACTGGAGCCATAAAAGTAACCAATACCACCTATTAAGTTGCTAAAGGCATATTTGGCAAATTTAATTTCATTGGCTGAATAACCCACAGCAAACAAATGGAATGTGTCCTCAAATCGTTTATCGAACTCGGATAATTTCTCTTGTAAGGCATTTGTAAATGCCCTGCCTGTTGGCGGATTCGACACATTCTCATTTGAATATCCGGAAGTGGATTGGTATATAATATCCATGGTGAAATCCACTTCGGCGGTGATTTGTATGGCAATAAAATTGGGATCAGCTGCAACTACACCATTTTGTGAGATCATTTCACCGGGTAAACCGACAAACCGGTTGTCACGTTTATCCGTAAATACACGGAAGTGTGAAAAAACGGTTTCCTTTAATTTGCTAAGCGACGGTGCCACTGTGCTCAAATAGGATTTGTGCAGTATTCTGCCTTTAATTGGTTGAAAACGCAACTAAAATGAAAATGTTAATCAATTAGAGTCAATTAAATTTTATTATTGATTTATTCCAAACACACACCTTAAATTCGCCCAGACCAAGTGTCTCGCCATAGACACCTGCCTCGGGACTGTTGTCGTTTGAAAGATACCTAATATGACCATTTGTGCGCTCATCGAGCGCCACATACCAAATTAGAGATATCGAGTGATCCCATGTTTTGGTTATATTACGCACAGAAACACGCGCTGTCCAATCGCCACCCAGTTTTCTACCACCAGGATACTTAATAAATGAAGTTTTCAACTCGAATGGCAGATCGTGTATTTCTTGCACACCAAAGGTACGTCCATCATGATGCGTCCAGCCGTACTTGTCGAGATTATCAGCGATTTCACACCAATGTCGTATGCCTTTACCACCGTGTCCCAAACTGGACGGCGTATACCACATCAAACCCATTACTAGCGAGTGTGGATCGCGTGTTTTCATACCGAAATATGTAAGTGGCCGATAGGAGCCCCAATAGCGTTCCGGATCGTCCAGCCCTGAGCGCGTCACCATTTTTTCATTATCAAACGGCGTATTTACACGAGTTTCCAGGTAACCTAAGTAGCCAAAATAGGATGCTACACCCAAACAAACAAAACCGATAAGCGTCTTCCATTTATCCAACATTAATTTGGGCCACAGCGAGAAACTGCTACGTTTTTTATGTGCTCCTTTATTTTTATTCGCCCCAGATGTTGACGAAGAAATCGTACTTGTACTTGAACCGCTATTGCCGCCACTACTTTGAGTAGAGTTTGAATCATTCTTTTTGTGTTTTGCCGAATTTTTGGTACTTTTGCTATTATTGTTAGTAGGTGTTTGCGGATTGCTAGCTGTAGATGTATTATTTGTGTTATTAATATTGTTTGCGCTTGTGCCTACACCGGCTGTGTTAACATTGCGTCGCTGCCTTGCCATGATGAAATTCGATTAGCTGTTCCTTACGTTTATGTCTCCGTATACTTATCTATTGTTGAACGATGAGCGCTCTAAATTCATTTGTGCCAATTAGCCAAAATTTTGTGAAATATTTAGCTCAACCAACACGATTTGATTATTTTCTTAGCACACAATTTCTCGTCTAAACATAATTTTATGAATTTTCTAAACTTATCTGCTAAATGTCGAAAACTGTACAGCTGTCAAAAACACACGACTGTTTTTTCCAACTATTTTCAGAGAACTTTCTCTGACGTGTTTTTTACGCTCTTTGCTACCAGATTCACAGAGAATATCATATGATAGACGCTCGCTGAGAATCATTTACGTTCTTTGCTACTTCGTGTGTACCAGTGTTGGGCAACGTTCTTTACTTTGCGACATCTGCTGACAATATTTGTCTGTGAACAGAGAACGTATATTATGTCCAGAGAACGACGTTCTCTGTTATGTCACCAAAGTATTGAGATATTCACCAAATAAATCTTATTTCTCTTTGAAATATTAATGAGGTGTATTTGACTTCCAATTTATAGGATTGCCTTAGCTGAGTTAGTTTAGTAAACCTTCATGTAGTTAGAAAGCACTCAGGTTCGACCCCCAGTGTGGGCAAGAATTTTCATTTCTTATAGTTATTATTCTCAAATCCCTCTTCCATATACGCCACACGTCATTTGCTACAACCCTTGCATTTAGGACGTGCCAGGGAAGTTGCAGGGAGATAGAATTCTCGGAAGGAAGCCAAGTGATCGCAATTAAATCAATATAGATACTTGGTGCCACAGGATGAGACACAATTTTTATCTATTTTTTCGGAATCAAGATTCTAATAAATTTTCCTAAATAAAAAGTGAAAACGCTTCTATTTGAAGAATAATAAATATGTATGTGTTCCACCGAGAAGATGACCATATGGAGAAGGGTGTCAGATATGTAAGGTTTGTAGGGCATGCAAAGATGTGGCTAGTGTCATGTGAGGACTCATTGCACCCTTATCATATGCTTAATATGTCA